AGGCCGAGGGCTCTTAGACTCATTGCATTTTTACTATCCCATCTAGTTTCTACAGTAGTCTTCATTTTGGTACCCCTAACACTTAAATACTCTCTGTCTGTCTTTCTCTGTCTGTCTTTCTCTGCCTGTCTTTCTCTGCCTCTCTTTCTCTGTCTGTCTCTGTCTCTCTCTCTCTTCCTCTCTCCTTCCTTACATCTCCCATCTGTCTATTGCAGCAACAATTCCTGCTCATTTTTCCAGACCCCACCCAGCATGTGCTGCCTTACCTTCCCTTTCTGGCTGCCTTAAAGGGCACTTTACATCACCGTCCTCTCATCCAGTCATGTGTGGTGCCATGCAAATCTTTGCTGCTCTGCACTTGTGGTATGTGGTTTGCACATAAATAAATTTTTAAAGCTTAGGTGGGTGGATGACAGACGGACAAAGGGGGAAAGGGAGGAAAGAAGGAAGGGAAAAGCCACGCATAGCACTTTTTAAAAAAGGTCACTAGGGACCTAGTTTCATTATAAGAAGTTGTAGTGAGAAAAAAAATTATAGTAGATAAGTGGAAATTAATGGCAAACATAAGAAAAACAGGAAATCTTGACGATCTCCCTGTAATCCCCTCTAATGGAGGCTGCCAGCAGGGAGTTCCACAGGAGCCATAAGATGTATGGAGACAGGAGAGTGAATGCACATATCCTGATGACACTTCAAGCCAAGCCTCTTACCTCTGTTCTGCCTAGCAACACCAGTTCCCAAGGTAATCATAATCATGTCCACACAGGGAGGGACGTTCCCCCTGGCACAAGCCACTGCACTGCCTTACATCCGTCCTCAGAGATGACAGAAAAAAAAAAACTTGCTTCATCTCCACAGGACAGTGCTCTGCCTTGTAGCTCCACAGCTGTGTTCCCGATGTATTTTAGGAGAAGAGCCAAGAGTGAGAAGCCTGATTCCTGGAGAGTATGATTTCACTGGCACTCCCTTTTTTGAGAAGGAAGAGGTGTGGTGTACAGGGTGGAGTCAAAGCTCTGGAAGCAGATAGAGCTGAGGTCACACGTCATGTTACACTGCCAGCTAAGAAACTGACACATCCTTCAGTCACTTTGTAGCTGAATTCCCATGAAAATGGTCTTCAAAGATGTTCATGGGCAAGAACAAGAACAACCAAGTCAACCTGTAGCGGGTCTCATCTCCATGAGCAGTAGAGGGGTCTGGCAAATGGCTACTGTGGAGGTTGAGAGGAAAGACATCTTGCCAAAAGAAAACCAAGAAGTGTCAAGCCAGGATACAGAGAAGACACTGGATTTCTTCTCACAGTGATCCCAGCACCAGGGTTCAAGCTGAGAAAGAGCTAACAAAATGGACAATGTCACACACTGACTTCTTCCTCCTGCTGAGCCTTGTGAGTGATAGCTAATGGGTGATTCTCATGAAAAGTGGACAGTGGAAAATACTTATTGACCAAGGCATTGATGATTTCCCCAGAGCTCAGCAGCTTTTCATAAGGCCTCCTGAAGTTCTGTACCTCAGTCTAGAGGAAAGTGGGTACCTACCACAGCCCAGAGGGTCCTGACTGGTGGCTGAGATTCTGTAGAATCCTTCCAAGCACCCAAGCTGAACCCTGGGAGAAGTGGCAATGCGGTCACCATTGAGGAAGTACAAGGAGGTGTCTGCTAGGAATGTCTTCGAGTCCAGATGAAGCTGGAACTTGCCACTTTGGATCAGATCTGCAAAGCGCCCAAGGAGGTCCTGGCCAATTAAAGCCCTTTCTGTAAGACATAGAGGAGGTAGAGGTCATCTCGCTATTCTCTGGAAGGGCAGGGACAAAGAGGTGGTGGAGGTGCTTAAAATATCCTGGGCAGAAAGGATACATAGGTATCACAAAAATCTCTCATTAGATACCAGGACAGACTGGGCTTAGAAAAGGTAAGTGGCTGGCCCAAAGCCACATACACAAATAAAACTCTAACCTAATTCTTAGATTTTGTGGCACCAAAGTAACCATCTTTGTACAGGATATGCATTACTGGGGTGCACTATGGAGGTGATCCACCACCTCCTCTGAGTTTAAGTGTGTACATCTGTTCCACAGGCCTAGGAATGCTTTGTTTGCATATGGGAAGGTTCCCAAAGGTTGGTGTACGTAAAAGGACCACACACAAGAAAGGCACAACCTTCTGTTGGAAATGTCACCTTTACTATTCTGCCTTATATGGAGAGAACTATGGCTTTCCAAGTGGAAAGCAGAGGAGTGCCATGTAAGAACCTCGGGAAGACCTCATTGTGCAGAAATCACCCATGCTGCAACCTGACACTGGCAAAATAGACATTGCCTGAAGCCACAGTCATCACTGTCCTCACATCAAAGCTGGGACAAAACATCTTATGATTTTATGATAACAAATACTCCCAAATTATCCAGGCTTTTTCAGAGGAAGGCTAATTAGAAATTCCTGATCCATAATGCCAGGTAGATTATTGTCAAGGTGACATCAAGAAGCCAAGAGAATGACAGACTTAAAGCCTGACTCCTGGCTTTCTCTTCCTGTCACGTGTTTTGAGAGATTTCTGTTCAAAGAACAGAGGTCAAGTTTCAGGTACTCTGGGAAATTCTGGGTGTCTGGCCACTGCATGACAGAGGGAGACAGGAGTTTAACCTCTAGCCCTACTTAGTAATGTGTGGATTATTCCCTACCCTACCAGAAAGCGCAGAGAAAAGAGGGGACACATTCATGGTCGTTCTCACACAATTCACTCTGCCCTTTCTTCTTTGGGCTTTGTGGTCTCTCTGATCGTCCCTAGCAAGCTGTCAAGGTTTAAAGAGGGGCAATGTGCTTGAGGTGGTTTATTAGTGGAGGTGGACAGTCTGTAAACTGTAAGACAGTAAAGACTCCCTCTCTCCCCCAAATCGCCCTTCACATTACGTTTATCTCACCTTTACAAGAAAGCTCCAGGCTCTCTATTGTCTGTGATGCTACTTACCCCTATTGACTATAACTCTACCAGCTTCTACATACTTTTTTAAAAGATAGAATTTTTGTTATTAACCTTTGAGACTTTCATACAATGTAATTTGATCATATCAGCCAAACTCTTCCCCTTAACTCTTCCTAGATCACTCCCACCCCCTAATTACTCCAACAATTTTATGTCTTTTGTTTTTCTAGTAATCTATTGATTATCTAGTAATCTACTAGTCTGTGCTGCCCATGGGAGATGGCTCAGAAGCTTCAGAGTATTGGCTGCTCTCGCAGAGGACCAGAGTTGAAATCCCAGAGCCCACATTGGGTAGGTCACAACCTCCTGTGACTCCAGTTCCAGAAGATCTAAATTGCACATACTTTTTAATAGAGAGCTAGCTCTTCTCAAGGACTAGATACAATCCTCCCTGAGTTGTTATGAGGAGAGATGAGGCCTTGCCCACTTTTGTTGTAAGGAAGCCTCAATTGATGAGGCTGCTCAACTTCTTCGAGACAGATAAACATACCAAGTACAGCCAGGTGTGGTGGCACACACCTTTAACCACAGCACCCAGGAAGGCAGAGGCAGGCAGATCTCTGTGCGTTTGAGACCAGCCTGGTCTACAAAGTGAGTCCATGACAACCAAGATTAGACAGGGAAACCCTGTCTCAAAAAACCAAACCAAAACAACAACAACAAAACCAAATGTACCAGTACAGATAAACATACCAATGCTGTGCAAATCTGGAAGTGAGGCCACTGAGATGTCCTCAAGCTGTAGTTTCCATGTGACATTCACTCCTAAACGCTCTGCAGTTAGACATGCCACCTGTATTGAGGAGTTGTCACAGACAGTGCTGGAACCCAGTGTCCCAAATGCCTTCACCTGCATGGAGAGGGAAGCTTTGGTTTAGGGACATAGAACAAGAAGCTGCTGGTATCAGGCATGTGTTTGGAGTCTGAAGGGGCCTATGTTACTTCCTATAATCGCCCACCACCCTATTCCTGAGGCTTGGGTACTGAAAAGCCCCTTCCCCACATGAGCTTCTCTGACAGTGATGCTAAGTTCAGCCCGAGCCCTCACTGTGGGGAAGGCTGGCACATACCCGGATTTCACAGAAGCCACGGGCTGTCAGCTCATCCAGTATGAAGACCTGGAAAGCCTGCAGCAAGCCGGAGTAGTCAGCACTGCACATCTTGCCTGGTGGGAGCAGGAGCTGGAAGTGTGCTTGAGTTTGCATGGTCTGCCACAGCTGAGGCCCTGCAGGCACAAGAGGTCAGTGGGCTGGGGAGATAGGTCTATAGAATTTTTTTTCCTGTGGATTTTCCTTGATCCACAGTCCCTCCTTTTTTAGCTTAAGCACAAAGCATTGCCTTTTTGTACTGACATCCTAAGATACCCCATACTTTCTGGTTCAGTGCTCTAACTCTGAGTCACTTAGCTTCCTCACAGCAAGGCCAGAACTGTTTCAGCCTCTAAATCGGCCTCTAAATTCCTTCTTCATAAGGATTCTTATGCTCCTCCTGGAAAATCTCCCATACTACTTTGCATATAAACACTACCATCCAACATAATTCAGCAGGTTTAGGGGTGGATGTCCTTTAAACTATTCAGCATTCAATGAGGAATGGCTTTGTCTTATTTTAGCTAGGGCCACCCAGTCATAATTGAAAGATAGGCCACTTAATTTGTTAAAAAAAAAAAAAAAAAAAGCTTAAACCTTTTCTGGATGACAACCCTCTACAAGCTACAGTGCTAGGTAGCCCCAAGAGGAAACAGAGTGCAGGGCAGTGTCACCACAGCTTCTTACGCTGGCAGGCTCGGGGTGGTGGCAGGGGCTCCCAGCGTTGACTCTCCAGGCTGCAGAGCAATGACTCTGGTGGGAATGCACTCTGGAGGCCCTGGTGGCAGAACAGCTGGCACCGCTGAACTGCAGTCACTGGGCCAGAGGCTGTCTCACAGAAGATCACTCCATCAGCCACATCTGACCCAGAGAAGGGCAATGGACACTGCGGGCCTGAGGGTAGAGAGGAAGAAGAGTCAGGGACATCTCCTAGGTTTCAGCCCAGCTCCTGCCTACCTTTCTTCTTCCCTTGATTTGTTCCTAGGTGCTTCTTAGTTGTGTCCTGCCCTGTCAAGGCTTGGGCCTTCCCCCTCCTTGTATGCCCTCTCACTGGATAAGCCCACCATCTTTCACTTTCACCAAACGGCCAAATAAATAGATAAATAGATAAATAAACAAACAAATAAATAAATAAATGAGACTTGCAGCTGCATCTCCAGCTATGTTACAAAACCAATGCACCATCATCCTCTTTACTTGGGACTCACAGCCCAGCTGCTGTCCTCTATGACTCCAATTTAGCAGCTCTGAGCTCGAGGAGTGGTTCCTGTAGCCACGCTGTTCTAAGCCACTAGTGTACCATGGTGCCAGTGAGGCTGGGCTTCTTGTCTGCATCTGGGCTTCTTGTCTGCATCTGTTCCCTCAGTGAGACCATAGTCCTCTGCATGAGATCCTCAGCACTGTTCTCCTTCCTCATGTCCCTCCATTTCCACTGCCAAAGCTGGCTATGAGCTCTTGATACCTTGTGTGCCTGCTGCCTCTGCCTCTCACTCTCCATGCTCAGCTATGGAATATCCCATGGTGCTCTGCAGCAAGGGAGGACCAGGCCAGGGGAAAAGGAAGAAGGACAGGGTAGACTCCTCTTCACCTCAATCCCCTGTCTCTGGGTGATAGACTGGAACCAGATCCTATTTGCTTCTATCTTTTCTCACAAAAAGTCTGCAAATGATGTATGTGTGTGTGTCAGGAGCTGTGGTGGTTTGAACAGGAATGGCCCTCATAGGCTCATGTATTTTGAATCCTTGGTCATTAGGAAGTGACACTATTTGATAGGGATTAGGAGGTGTGGCCTTATTGGAGCAGGTGAGGTTTTGCTGGAGGAAGTGTGTCACTGGGGGTGAACTTTGGGTTTTCAAATGCTCTCTTTTATGAGAGTTGCTGAGATCATGATATCTCTCCACAGTGAAGGAATAATGACTAAAATGGAATCCTTTTTCATACTGGCTTTAGTTTCAAGGTAACTCAGCAAGATGAGGCCCATCCTTAGGTCCTCTAACAGCTAAAGACCCTAACTCATGGAGAAAGTGACTTTTCTGTCATAGCCCTACAGAAGGACAAGTCATTTCTACAATGCCCAGAGAAAGCAGCGGTCCCTGTGAATGTGACCTTGGAGGTAGAGAAAGCCAACAGTTCTTTCAAGAACATCAGCAAAACTCAACATGTATTTACTGAGTTCACTGGTAACTGCAATGCTAAAGATTGTCCTTACTGTTTTTACCGGTGATACCAAGGAATAGTGTCACCGGTAACTCAGACCCAGAGAAACTAAGGAACGAGTATGAGGTCTCCAACAGAGAGTAACAGGGGTGATGTACAAATCTGCCTTTTGTACCCTAAACCTGAAATGTTTGCATTATGTTCTCTGGCAAGTCAGGAGCAGAAAGCTTTGAAAACTCAGAACTGAGCCTGGGTAACCTCAGGCTTCATGATATGAAGGCTCTGAGTTTGTTCCACCCTCTTGGGTTTGAATGAGCAGTGCTTCCTGGTCCCTAATCAAGACCAAGATCACAGAGCACTCCAGGATTCTCTAGTAACTTGGAGAGATTCTAGTCCTCGTCTATACTCAGTCACGTTTACTGACTCCTCCCATTACTGCAGGGATCTGAAGAGGTTATCTCCCCTCAGGATATGTCCCAAGCCAGCTTCCTGTGTGTAAGACACAAATGGGCTTGTAGGCCTAACAAGAACTTTGGCTCTCCAAAGATTTCTAGTGCAGTTCCGTGGCCCAGGAGCAGGAGGACACACTTAGTAATCAAGGCTAAGGTTAAGCTCTCAGCTTTGTGTCCTTGACCAGCACATTGCTTTGTTTCTTTGTATTTTGTTTGGTTTGGTTTTATTTTGTTTTAGACACAGTCTTGCTATGTTTGTCACCCAAATAGGCTTCAAACTGGTAATCCACCTGCCAGGGTGTGCTGGGCTCACAGGAATCGACTCTATGGCAGGCTTTTAATGAGTATATTATAAAAACATAATACTACAACTCAGTATTCTAATATGTGTTCATGTGATGTATATCTCAGTATTTGATAGTTAAGTAATTATAAATAAATAAAAACGAACAAGCTGTCATCTCTCTAGATGACAGAAACATGAGGTCCCCATGAGGTCCTGCAATGGGGATGCTTCTCCTGATTGGGGACAATAGGGAAATCCAGGCCAGACTCCACTGAGCTATAACAATAGATTCCTGAAGCACCAGTTTCAAGCCCACGCTATGATTTTTTGGAAGTGCACATACCACTTTCCCAGCACATCAATTAATTGTCTTGATATCCTGTCCATTCTCGTTCTGACAGCCCAGCATCTCAGAGACCCTCTGTCTAGAATAGCTTAAGACTTTCAGCCTAGCAGCTGAAGACTTACTCTCACAGGCAGGCCGGGTGCCTATCACACGAGTCCCAGGCACTTCCTCTCCACTGTGTCCAAGGACACACCAGCAACTGTTCTGGGTCAAGTCACACTGCACTGGGGAGAAGCCCTCGTCCTGTGCCTCACAGTCTGGAGTGTAGCCAGGGCCGACTTCTCTGGACAGGGCTGCACTCTTGAGGACCACACAGAGGCCTGGGCCTGTACAGAGACAAGTGAAGCGAACCATGCTCTGACCTTGCTTTCAGCATAGGCACAGCTGCCATATCCCTCCCTGTTACCCCTGTCATACTAGGCCAGCTGCTTGTGGGTCCCAGGGGTCTGTTCCCTGTCTCTCCCATTGCCTACCCCAGAGGGCCTCAGATCCTCAAAGGAGATTTCAGAGGTGAGCCACTAGAGAGAAGGATGATAAGGGTACTATATGAAGCTATGGACAGACCCAAGTCAGTAACCAGAGGCCTACAAAGCCTTTCAGGAAACTACTGGAGGTCTGTGAAAATCTACTGAAGAGGAATAGGGAGGGATAGATACCTTATAGGCAGTTGAGTCACACTGCACAGAAGTCTGAGAGAGAGAGAGACAGAGACAGAGAGAGAGAAAGAGAGAGAGATAGAGAGAGCAAGCAGTCTCTTTAAGTGCTAACCACACTTTGCTACAAGATTTCAGGTGCAAGCAATGACAAAGTGAGAGAAATGAAAGAGGCCACACAAAAGTCTATTGTGGGAACCTTGTGTGATGCCAAAAAGCCCAGGGTTGGCCTTGGGAACGTGGTGAGCACATGAAACAGAGCTGTGGGGTCAAGCAGTGCATGCGGTGGCCCAGAGGTATATGGCCCCCAAAGTACCAGCACTCCCATAGGCAGGGACAGATGCCGAGCAGTGATAGCCCCTAGTGCTTCTTGGTTCCAGAGCACAGCCAGCTCTTGGCTACACTGGCTTTTCTGAGATCCTTCAAGGTGGGAAAGAGCACCTGTTCTGTAGATGAGAAAGCTGAAGCACATTTGGATCAGGAGCTGTCTCCCAGCTGTGGAGGTGGCACAGCTGAGTCTCTGCTTTAGGACAACAAGGGGGAGGGATGGTTACTCACACTGAGGACTGTCATTTGTGTTTGGTAGCATCACTTCTCCTGAGGCTGGGTCCACACACCAAGCTCCTGTTCCTGCTGTCTGCTGTCTGGCGTACTCTCCCGTCTGCAATAAAGCCATGCTTATTTCACTACATGCAAGGTTTCGCAGTTCACTCGTTGGTGGGAGAAAGTCTTGCAACAAGAATGTCCCATCCTAAACAACCAGTGAGAGTTTCTCCAGACAAAAAAAAAAAAAAAAAAAAAGGTTGTCCAGGAGGGGGCCAATGCCCTATTCAAACTTTATGGCCACGCTCTACTTGTTGGTTACCAAGGAAAGAAAAGTTGTGCCATGTGAGATCAGGGAAAGCTGAGTCTTCTGAGATGTGAGATAGTGGAGAAGTGTCCCAGAGCTAGAGAGTAGCAGGACTGCAACATGCCCACATCATCGATCTCCCCACTGCCCAGAACCAACTCCACACATTCCAGAAATTACTTTTAGTATGGAACCTCAAAGAATCCCTAACTGTAACTAATAATGCAGGTATGCCCTAAGACAGTGACCCAAGTCCTACCTTTTGTTGGGGACCCACAAACAGGACCTATCACTGTTGGCTCCTCCTTGCCTGTCCTATCCTGAGTCAGCAGGGTTTTCACACCTGACACTTGAACTACCTAAGTCTCAGTTTCCCAGTCTAAAAAGCCAGGAAACTGGACTAGATTGATCCTTTCTTTGTGTGTGTGTGTGTGTGTGTACATGTGTGTATAGATAATGCAAAGACACATTTGTGTGTGCATAGAGGTGAAAGGCTGCTGTTCCTCAGGTGTCATGAACTTTCTACTTTTAGCCAATATATATTGGCTTGGAACTTCCAAGTAGGTTAGCTTAGCTGGCTGGGAACCCTGGGCATCTACCTATCTCTACTTCCTCAGTACTGGGATTTTAAGTAAGGCACTATGATGTTCAGATTTTGCTATATGGGTTCTAGGAAAGAAGCAGAGATCTTCATGTGTGTAAGGCAAGCACTTTACACACTAATGTATCTCTCCAGGCCTGAACCCAGAGCACTTTGACTCTAGGAACTCCTTCAGCAGGGAAGTCCCCTGTCCTGCTTCTGCAACCCAAAGCCCTGAGCTCAGAGGCATGATCTGGAGAAAAGCATTATCCAGCAGAGCGTGCTGAGTGCTGCGTTCATTGGCTGTCGCTTGCTGGCTTTATGCTATGCTATAACTGGTCTATGCTATAATGTGGTTAATAACACCACATTTACCCAATATCCCCAGGAGACTCATAAACACCTTCACCCCAGGGGAGTCACAGAAACCACAAGCACTCAGAAAGGAGGAGACTCTGCATCATTCTACACACAGAGAGATCAGGTGGCATGCTTCTGGCCACAAAACTGCAGAGGTAAGATTCAAACTCAGAAGGGCTGAGGGAGCCCTATGGGAGAAAATTAAAATTGAGAATACCAGTCTCGATTCACTGAATAGAGTCTCGCTCTCAGTTAACTACCAATCCTTGGAAGAGAATGGAGGCTAAAGATTCAGATATCAGTTTGGGTAGTGAGGATCTTGGCTGTTGTTTTACTAGTATAGTAGCTGGCAAGAACCTATATAATCTAGAAACCACCAGGTCACATGCCAGAACCACCCTCTCTGCCTTCAGAAGCCATAGTCCTGCATTTCCTTTCTCAGGAGAATAGCTGTGCTGGGGACATTGGGCTAGCTTCTCTCCAGAGAAAGGTGAATTGTTAGCCGAGATAAAAGATTAAACCATGTTGGCAAATTTCTCTACAAATTAATTAATAAGAGGACCTCATTCATGGAACCCCAGGATAATCACGATATTGCTCAGCATTACATGTCTTTATGAATTTTTATGCTGCCAATTTCATCTGAGTTTTTCCTGTGAGTTTTATACTAAGATGAATGAACTAGAAATCTAGGAAGTCCACCTTCAGCCAAAGGAGGCCAGTGTCAGTGTCAGCTTCCTTCCTTGTCTCCTTCCTGTGTCCACAGAAGCTCACCTGTAGGCAGGCAGGTATATACAGATCTCTTGGATGTGGGTTTCTTTGGGGTCCAGCCTGTTTCCATGCAGAAAGTAGCCCATTGGCTCGGGATAGCTCACAGCTTGTGGGGCCTGTGGGAGAGAGGGGCTATGAACAGATGGCTGTGGAGTCAAGAGAAGGTAGGCAGCATCGGCTAACCCCAGACTTTAGACCAGTAGATATGTGGTTCACAAAGCTATACCCTCAAGAGAGGCAGGCTGAAATTTATAGACACATGTGGGATATATTTGGTGGCTTTCAGAGGTCAAGCAGGCCACTGATGGTTCAGGAGTGACCTTCAGTAGGAGGCTGGGCTGCAGAAATACATGTGAGATAGTGATGTAACTACAGTAGTTGGAGCTGCCCTGGAGCCAGGGCACAGGGATCAAAGCCAAGCTCTGTTGCCTGTCTTGGCTCTTCCTGGTACATCTCCAGTGAGGGCACCAAAATGGAAGGCCTAAAGTGAGCCCCAGAACTAGGACATAAAAAGAAATCGGTCCAAGGCATTCTCAGAGACTGGTCTAAAGGACTAGACTGTAGAGTCCCCCTCAGTTGCATGACCAAGCTGGGTTGAGCAGCATAGATGCCATTCTAGAAGTCAGACTGAAGATTCCCATGGGCTTTACTTACACTGGGGCATCCGTGAGGAGCGTGCTGCTGTCAGTGAGTCTGGGATAAACTCTCCCTGCCCATCCACACACCAGCAGTGTCCTGGAAAAGAGCCATACCCCATAAGCCCAGGAAGCATGCTGGGGACTCTCTTAAAACTTCTGTTTTGCATTCATAGCAATGCCAGCATGGTAGCCTGTCTGGCCCAGGAGCCCTGCCTAATTCTGTTCACAATCACAGGACTTAGCATCCAACACTCCCAGCAAATGAGCATTTCACCTCCACGTTGACTGGAGGACCCTGCTTCTCTTACACAGGGGAGACAGCTGGTAGTAGAGAAGGTAATGGTTTGTCCTAGTTGCTAAAGAGGGGCCCAACAATATGGACCACTTGCCTCCCACTGTAGGACTCTTTCCTTTAAATATTCATCTGCCTTCCCAAAGTTTCCTTACCGGTCCCAGCATGGCACTGCATGGGCTCCCAGCCTCCAAGAATATTGCACTGTGGCACGTAGGGCCCTAACCACAGAAGACTGGCTGCTCCATCGGACTCTCCCAGGGAAGCACGGAGACTCTGATAAAAAGTCAAGGCTAGAGACGCAGGGGAGAAAAAACAGAATGTGACAGCTGCCTTATGTGCTCTGTCCTGAGATAAGCTGAGCACATCTCTCTCTGAATAGCCTTCTTAGAACACGACAATGTTCCAACATTAAATTTTGCTTAGCCTCTTGGATAGCCAGGAGGCACTCAGCATATCATCCCAGATCATCCTATGACAATGAGCTCTAGACTGCATTTGGAGGACTCTCTACATCACCGGTAACTTTGTAGAGAGTTGATTAGGCTGGTGAGTGGCTTCATTCCCAAGGGATATACTTTACTCTAAAGAAGAATCATAAGGATCCAAAGGAATGTTGCAGATATTAGGTGTGTCAACTTTTTGTCACTGGGCCACACCATTGTGGTCTACAAAGTTCAGTCTCAAGAGCTACACAGTTGAGCTACCAAAATAAGATTACATATGTGTCTCATAATACTTTGAGTAAGTTTATGGGTTTTTGTTGGGTCCATTCCTAGTTATCCTAGAACACATGTGGACTAAAGAGCTGCAAGTTGGACATGCCTGGAAAGGTTTAACCAAATTATTTACATGTTTTTCAAGTATTAGTAGGGACAAAATTGAGACAGACAAAAAACTACTTAGCCAAGATCTCACAACAAGATATGGAGGGCAGGCTTTGGCCACATGTAGTTGACTCACCACAGCTCTGCCACCCTTTCATGGCTCCTCTTCTCAGTGCTTACCACCACTCCATACATCACATGTACTGATCTGGTTTGTGTATGTTTTCCACTTCTGGGCTCATATTTAGAAGCCTCGGTACAGAACCTGGCTCACAATGTCCACTGAAAAAAAGTCACTGGCCTAGATAGGATGGTGCCCACCTGTAATCCTAACTTCTGGGGAAACAGAGGCCAGAGGGTCTCAAATTGCAGACTAGCCAGAGCTATAGAGTGAACTCTGAGGAAGAGAGAGAATAAAGAGCAGCAATGTGAGTGATGAGCAGGCCATGGGTATAAAGAAAGGTGAGAAAGGCAAAGAATGTGTTTTGGCCTCCAGAACAGTTGTCTGGTGAGGGAGAGGGGCAAAAACAGATTGATTTTTGAGATCCTTCTCTGAGGTTAGAACAAAGACACCATACCTAAGTCAACACCAGATACCATCAGGGGAAGGCGAGGAGGTTCCAGCTTGTTGCAGGGAATTCACTTTGACATCACATAATTGTTATCAGGGAGGAGGGCAGCCCAGACCCCAAGATCACTGAGAAAGGGTGGGGACTCAGACAAGGCTGAGAGAGAGAAGGATCTCAGATTCTCTAGAGGTGGGGCTCAATGAGAGCTCATTGGGGTTAGAGCCTCTTGCCAGAGCAGGCTGTAGGCAGAGGAAGGATACTGTCTAAGCCAGATCTTGGCACTGGCTTCACTGGAACACTGCACTGGAACAGCACTGACTGCAGCTGAGCAGGGCACAGGACACTAATCATATGCGCGAGGCTACTAGGCTTCCCAACCCAGGTTCCATAGTTAGCAGATGGGTGAACCCAGGCCAGTGACTAAGCCAGGGACTCAACTTCTCTATGTAAAGAACCACAGGTAGTATTCTAGTTTTGTTCTGAAATTAACACAATTAGAATGAACACAATGGCCCAATCATGTACTTGACATGCAAGTGCCTGGTCACGGGCTAGGTTTAAGCACTATGTGGCTGTTGCTAGGGCAGAGTACTACGTTCCTCTGTCACATTCAGAGATGACACAGCCTTTGGGTCCTGCTCTCAGAATTCCCTGAGCTCACATGAGCAATGGGTCCTCAGTAAAGGGGTCATCTTCCTTCTCCTTTCCCAAAGCCTTGGGCATAAAAGGCAACTTTAAGGTAAACCAAGGGTTGAGGACATATGGGGCCTTTTAACAAGACTGTGGCTTTATAAGGACTGCAGGGGCATCTGCATACGGAGTGTGAAGGCCCACAGTGTCTCTGCTGAGGGATCACAGACCCTTTAGTGAAAGCTTTGGAGATGGTCACAGGACCACTCTGTCTTTCCAAGAACCTGGTGGCCCCATGGCAACCAAGTTAAGTCCTGGAGAGTCATTTACAAGCTCTTGCTTCCCCCAAAGAAATGGATTGAGACTTTCAACACAACACTCACTGGACTGAGCAGCCAAATGAATGGCATATTCCCCCCCTCGTAGAAACTTCTCAGAAAAAGCCTCCCGGGATGGGTAGAGAGGAGGAAGACCAAGCTCTTCATTGGCCAACTGGATTCCCTTGGCCACTAAGAAAGTCTCTCCCAGTGGAAAGGAAGAACCATTGGAAGCTGAGACAATCTCTTCTGTTTCCTTAATAAACTCCATGACACGAAGTTTCACTTCCTCACAGGGGCCAGGACCTAGGGCAACACAAAGAGCAAAGGTGGATTCAGTAACCAGGTCTTGCTCTTCTTGCTTTTTTTTCCTTGACCCCATTCAGTCAGCCTTTGTGGGGAAACAGGCAGAAGATAGGTGCTATGCAATCTCCACACCATGCCAGACTCCTACTTAGTACATTCACGTGATCTAACTTAATCTGGTTCCACTTGCTCCCACAAGCCCAAGTTTCATTTCATGTACTGTCCTCACAGAGGAACAACATCGTTTAGAAAGGGTTTAAATTGGCTTATAACTCTAGGCCACAGCCTGTAATTGAGGGATGTTGAAACAGAAACTCAACAGGAACACAAAGTCAGCCCTCTGACCAAAAATCTTCCTTCAGAAGTGCAGCAGGAGCCACAGAGGATTGTGTTTGGTGACTGACAAGCAACATATGCTTAGCTAGCTTTTGAATACAGTTTGGTACCACCTGCCTAGAGAATGGTACTGCCTAAGATAGGCTGGGCCCTGCTGTATATATTAACAATCAAGACAATACCCCGATGGGCCAATTGATTTAGGCATTTCCTCAATTGAGATTTTCTTCCCATACAATTCCAGGTGGTGCCAAATTGGCAATTAAAGCTAACTTGGACATCATGATATAGGACAGAAACTGAGGCACGCAGAAGTCATCTAATTTGAGGAAGTTCCTCACTAGACAGTTAATTCAGATTTGCTAGAGGTTATCACTCTACAAACATTGATCTGAGTCACCTATCTCTTGGATGGTACAGGAAGATGGGTAGGTGGATGGATGGTTGGGTAGATGGGGGCTTGGGCAGATAGACATGAAGAATGAATGGACAGATAACTGTTGCCATGGCTCCCAGAAATGCTCTGGTCCTACCAAGGCTTTCCCACCAGAAAGTCTTTTCAAAGCAGACATGAAATTGAGTCTCTACATGAGTTAACTCACATGTTGGGATTTCGCCTGGCTTAGTCCGAGTTCCATCCAGTTCCTGACCAGCCTCATCCACACACCAGCAGCTCCTGAGGTTGAAATGTGCCAGAGGCATGCTAAAGTCTGAGTAGGGCCCTGGGTATTGGCTGAGCTGGCCATTTAGAATCTGCCAAAAGATGTATGGATCCAGGAAAATGTTCTCCTCAGGCTGAGTTGGGGCTCCCTCCAGCACTACCTGTGGAACATCTCTAAGGGAAGGGTACTGTGCTAGCACCGGGAAGATGCCTTGCTGGCCAGCCTCATAAAGACTTTGAAGAAAGATACTGAAGTTTCTGGAAGCTGCTTCTCTGTAGCTCATGATCTTCATCAGTTGTGTGGCTGGGGTCAGTTCCTGGTCTTCACTGTTCTGAGTGTTCCATCGTTCATACCACTCAAAAACTTGCTCGGGGGGTCCATCACACTGCACACGCCTCCACTGCCCACTGACACTGCATTGTGGGATGTAGACAGTGGAGAGGGAGGACAGCATGCTTGAGTTAGAGAGCAGGATCTGCACTGCCCCAAGGAAAGCTTGTTCAGCACGTAACTGACAGACACTGGGACCTGGAGAAGAACAATGAGCAGATATTAAATAAATTGAATAGGCCAGAAAGATCAAGGTGACTGCTTAACTATCAGTAGCAGAAACCTTAATAGTCCTAAATTCATGAATGGCATTCAACCTGGTGACTAACCCAGGTACTGACATGACCGGTGCCACAGAAATGTATGTGGCACTTTCTGTCATATGTGTGTATGTATGTGTTTAAGCACATGTATGGAGAATATGTTTAAGAATATGTGGAGGCCAGAGGCTGCTGTAAGATGTCTTTTCAATCACTCTATCTTACTGTTTTAGACAGGATCTCTCACTAAGCCTGAAGCTTTCCAATTTAGACAGACAGGCTGGCCAGTGAGCTAGCCCCAGCTCCACCTGTTTCTACCTTTCCCATGCTCACAGAACTGGGGTTACAAATGTGCATTACCTATCATGATTTTAGGTGGACGCAAGCAAAGATCAATATGTTTGTGCAGCAAGTTTTACCAGCTGAGTCATCTTCCTAGCTCAGGTATGTGCACTTTCTTAATAACAAGCAAATATCTCTATTTGCTCATTAGAATGGCTAATACTGTCCAGGTTTCCATGGATAATATTTAGCTAAAGTAACTATTCCATTACCTCAAGTTTGCTCTTTAGTCAAGAGCAAACTCAGTTTCTTACAATGTATGAAGTTCTGGCCTAAACAGAGACTCAAGAATCTTTAAATTAAATGCCTATCAGACTTACACTGCTTGGGTTCACCAATTTTACTTCGTGTTCCAGGAATAGCCTGACCTTCAGCATCAACGCAGTAACATTCTGAGTTGAAGCACTGGACCGGCAGGAAATAGCCCTCACTACTACATGTAGGGACAAAGAAGCTGGAGCCAGCAGGTTGACTGCCTGCGAGGCTTTGCATCTGAGCCCTTTGCTTCTCACACGTGGTGGGGCACCTTGGGCGTCCACCTCTGACTCTTGAGCCATCGAGTTCTTTGCCTTGGGAATCCACACACCAGCAATCTCCAGCATAACACTGGATATCCTCATAGCTTCCTTCGCCAGTGCATGATGGGACAAAAAGGCTTCCAGGTGTCTGTTTGCAGGCTTGAGCACTGAACACTGTTTCCATCACATCTCCTAAGTCCCTCGCTATATCTTCAGGCACAGAAATAGCACGCTGCAAGAAAACAAGAAACTCTGGAAGTTCCAGGAGAGAAGCAAGGAATTTTAAGGCATTTTGATTCTCTTGTAGGTTGACTTTGAAGCCAAAGGTACCCACAACTGGTTTATTCATAGCAACTGTCTTTTCAAAGACACGGGGAGTTTCTGGGGTAGAACTGGACTCCAGTCCTACAGGGGCTACATCAGTTGCTCTGTCTCCATTCTGGAATCCTGGGAGGCCAAGCTGCTGGAAAAACTGACTAAAGTTAAATGTGCTTCTTGTACCAAGGGCTCCCGACAAGTTAAACTGGGCAGCATTCACCAAAAATGTCCCTCCAAAGAGGTTTTGCTGGAGTCGCTTGGGGTTGATGGTGAACTGAAGAGCAAGACCTGCCAGCTCTCGGGAGGGAAAAATTGTTCTCATGGCTTCTCTGAGTAGATATCCTGATGCAGAAAGCTGTTGGTATTGCTCCACAGCCATAGAACGTAGAAGCCCGGAGTCAACAAAGAGTGCCTTGATTGTAGGTGGGCAGGATGTGTCCAGTCTGACACCACTCACGAAGACCGACCTGTCCTCAGAAGACAAGTCCTGTGGGTTGATGTAGCCTGGGGTTCCAAAGTAGAGCCTAGACAAGGCCTGTTGTCTTTCCGAGGCACATGACTGGTCTTCGGCTGCATGAGACAGTAAAAACCATAGTTAGCAGAGCAAATGGTCCTAAGGATCCTCCCTTTGCCATGTCCCCATGTCTCTGGTAGTAAGATTTCTAAAGTTCACACCGCACTGTAGACCATTTCCTTTTTTGTTTGTTTGGGTTTTTGTGTTGTTGTTATTTGTCTATTTGTTTGTTTGTTTGTTTGTTTGTTCTCTGCGTAGGTTTGTCTGTCCTGAAATTCACTAGGTAGACCAGGCTGGCCTGGAACTCAGAGATCTGCCTGCCTCTGCCTCCAGAGTTCTAGGATTAAAGGAATGTGACACCACCACCTGGATTATTTCCTTTTTTTTTTTTTCGTCTTCCCTTCTCCCTCGAGCTGCCTAGTGGAGCTAGTTCTGAGGGTGAGTATTCCTGTCCCCATGACCACTTGGCCATCTTACACTAGCTTGATGCTTTTCTACAGCAAGTCTATGGGACACCAGCCCATTTTCTGAAATCCAGGTCACACTTGCATTGGTCTGAATGGTGTCTTTTAATTTTTTTTTTCTACATGGGGTCCCTAAATGTGAATTGAAAGCAAGGTCTTGGTAGACATAATAAAGTTAAGATGAGGTCATCTAGACTAAGGTAAGCTAGAAATCCAATGGTTGGTATCTCTATAAGAAGAGACAGGAAAGAGGCCATGTGAGGCTCAAAACAAACAGACTGGTGTGCCAGATGTAGTCTTGAAGCCAAAGAACACCACAATAGTCAAAGAGAGTTTGGATGGCCCTGTCTCCACCTTGACTTCTAAATTCCAGTGTGAGAACTGTGAGAGAACACATTTCTGCTGTGAGGCATCCACTGTGTAGCGATTGGTTCTGGCAGCCTTAGGAGCCCAGTTTGCTAACAAAGTCCCATTTGTGTTGCTAAGCTTCTGCTTCCCACCTCTCTCTTGCTGGAATTCTCAATGGACTTTAATGCTGTACCATATGCTCTTCCTGTGACTCTGATTCCTCTGGTGTGTGGTCTTGTCCAGTTTACAGTCTCTTCAGAATGAGACTTGTGCCAGCAATGCTGGTAGTGCTTTGAATAAGAAACACTTTCTTTCCTGTATTGTGGTATGTAATATTAAAAACACAGCATATTCCATTACTGTAGTATTTTCTATATAATAACACAAAAGAGCTGCCCCAGCAAGCACACTTAGGGAACCCCTTGGGTTTCTTGTCCTTTCTGTGAAATTGCTATTGAAAAAGATAAGTGACTTAGTCAACTCTGTGCATGGTCAAGACAATCTGTGTAAGTGTCCTTGGGAGGAAAAACAAAAACAAAAACAGGATGCAAACAGCATCTGGTTGTCTTCACATAGGTGGACATAAGCAAGCTCCATTCTCCAACATAAATCCACAAATCTTAGGGGACCTTCTAAAACACCACCACACTCTCAACTTGTAAAAATAAGTCTTTCCTCTTGATTCACACAGATGCCAGAAAGGAAGCCAGCCAATTTCCCTCTGTAACTAGGCAACAGAGAAAGAACTGGAACGTGTAGAGGGGTGTGTGTGTGTGTGTGTGTGTGTGTGTGTGTGTGTGTGTGTGTGTG